CCGTACGTTACCAACCACCTAGATTCATAGTTCACTTATACATGTATATATCTAGATGAATAGATAAGCATTGTATATTGTATAAATATTGAAGTAATAGAGAGGAAGCCGGACGGCGAATTACAATTTCCAACTGAAAGTATAGGTTGAACACTTAGTGATAAAGATATTATTAATGGTGTGATAGAGGAGTGATTATGGTGTAATCATGTTGTGATAATTACAATGGAGAAGACTCTTATTTATAGGAGAAAAGTTAAGCTTCTTAGGATTAGAGGATAATTGTGAACCACACAATTATCATATTCTAGAATCATAATTATGATTTCCTAATTATTTATACAATGGTGATAATAATTCCTAATCAGGAATAGTTGGAAGATGACTAATTCAATTATATTTCAACACCCCCCCCCCCCCCCCTTGAATGGTCATCTTCTAATTATTCTGGAGTATTAGTATCATAGTATTATAATGTACTGTCTCGTTAAAAACCTTTGTCAGGAAAATCCCAGTGGGATAAAAAACCTGACAAAGGGAAAAAGAGTGTGGTGCATTATATTACTCCCCCTCAATCTAGCATATATCTCGAAGACGACATATTCCAATTTTGTAGATCAGTTCTTCAAATTTCTTCGGTGCCAATGACTTTGTGAATAAATCAGCAGAGTTGTGGCAGGACTTGACTTGTTTGATATCAACTGTTCCTTCTTTCTCAAGATCATGTGTGGAGAAAAGTTTTGGTGCTATATGCTTTGTTCTATCCCCTTTTGATGTGACCTCCTTTGATCTGAGCTATACATGTTGTATTATCTTCATAAATCACAGTATGATTACAAGTAAAAGATTTTATACCACATTTATTTTGTATGTGTTGAATCATTGATCTCAACCAGACACATTCTCGACCTGCTTCATAAAGAGCATTTAATGATGTCTTCCATGTTTCATTATAGAAACCACATCACGGTCCACCGCCGGAGACTATGAGCCTTCTTCCACCACTAGAAGAGCCTCCGCTAGTATTACATCCAAAGAAAATCCTTAGGTCATGGCTGAAACGAGCACATGGGAACTTCTGGTACATTGGCAGTGTAAGTTGCAAGAGGAGGCATATCGGGAGACATTGAAAGAGTTTCAAAACGCATACCCAAAGTTCGAGCTTGAGGACAAGCTCTTTGACAACGAGAGAAGTAATGTTGTGGACGCCTTTCTATGACGCACATATCAACGGTGTCGCAAAAATAATTCATGCGTAAAAGAGGTGAAGGAAAAACTAAACACAACAGGTGTTAGCTAGCAAGGTGGTTGAGGAAGATGCTTGGTAAGTTTAGCAACTGGTAGTCAATCAAACATGACAGTTGGGTTATATTCAGATCATTTGATCTGATGGATTGTTGTCTTCAATATTTTATTTGTCTCTGAATTATTTCGGAATACTTTCTGTGTGGTTTTCTTACATTTCAGAACTCTAAAGTAGCCTACATAAGGACCTTTGATATATGAAGTAAAGATATCTTGGAAAGAATTAGTTTGTGCGTGTCTTGACAAGGTCGGGCACTAAATTAATTCTAACTAAGCATAGTTGTTCATCCCGGGGAAATCTGTCTTGCACAAATCTCAGATTCTTAGCATAGATCAAACATTAATCAAACCAGGGGTGTTGAAATATTTCTTCACAAGTAAAATATGAACTAATGAAGTACAATATAAAGACATCGAGTTACTCCTCCTGTCAAATCGGCCTTTAATTAAGATGAAACTCGAGTCCTAACATGTTATCAGAGTCAGGTTCGGTTAAAGTTTGATTGTTGTTTAGCACCCATGGTTAGGAGTAACTCGTTAAGAATTTGTTTGGCTCATTTATATACCTCGATGTTGTCAATGCTGGTTTGGGTTGAGAGGCGTGTTGAAGTATTTGTCTCACATTGTATTTTATTAAAATAATAAATCAATATACAAGATTCTGAATTACGCCTCATAATAGATTAACTTTTTAGGATGGAACCCTGAATCCAATGGTGGAACCAGGTCGGGGCGAGTCGGTGTTGGCACCCCCCCCCCCCCCCCCCCCTCGCCAGAATCATTAAGGTAGCAGTTGATTCAAAATTGCAGGAGAAAATTTATGTTGATTTTAGCGATATATTAATCTTTTGATCATGCCACCCAAGCAGGAAAATAAACATGCTGATCCAGAATGGACTCAGAAGGTGAGAAGCGTAGTTAAAAAATTAGTTAAGAAGGGGATATATCCTTCCCCCTAGGGTGAGATCCATCTTTACCATTCAATGCAGCAGGTCACATAGATTTATTTTACCAAGAAGTGCAAAATGCATTTGCGACTACTAGGGAAGTCCGTTCTGTTACTGCTTGAAATGCAACAACATCCACTGAAAGAGATTCAGCATATGTTTAATATCAACCGAAAGGAACTCGCTCGTCAAATAAAAACAATATTAGAGATAAGACGAGGCAATGAGATTAGAAACTAGCAGCAGGAATATATATTAAAGTTGTTATTTGCTGTCCATTACAAATTATAGAGGTAGTCACTAGATCTTTTTAAACTATATACAAGGGATGTCATTTGGTTAAGTGATACTAAAACAAGGTTACAAGGTTATATTTAAAAACCAAATGTACAAATTAAATTTGAATTCTGAAACTAGTAACCAAGATTCCAAGAGAGTCTGAAAATTAGGTTTTGCATTGAAAGCAATTAGAAATGGCCGAGGTGAAACCGGCGAGCTGTGAGGTCGAATGGGATAGGGAGAGGAAGAAAAGCAAAAATCAAAGGCTAATTAACAAGGTTGAGAAGAGTAGATATTGATCTTCGTTCTTCAATTTTTTTTTGATGATCCAGGTGTCGGTGCTTTCCCTCCCCTAATCCTGGAGTCTTTGAACTACCCTCATAAGCCCCTAGACAGGTAAATCCGAATCTGATCACAGTCAGCCTCGTCAGTGCTGGCTCCAAAGGACGAATCCAACAGGGCTTACATCACCATTCAGGTTGCTCCTCCTACCACATGAACTCGCTACCTTTATTACCATTCTCTCATTTCTCAGCCGCTGAGCAACTCCGTGAAGGTAGGAAGAATCATTAGGAGCAAGACCTCCTTCCTCTCCCCTAAATGTGTCTAGCGGGATTCGAACCCGAGACCTCTGCTAGGACACGGTAACCTCCCATCCAGTGAGCTGGAATGGTTGGTTATCAGGGTATGGAGCGTTTTGAAATGAATTTGTATGACTACATCGAACCAAATAATTCATTAGTTTTTCGGAAGCGCCCCTCATCTACCTTGATTTTGATAATCAAGTAAGTAGAACATTCAAATTTAAAGTGCTAAATAAGTATTGATCATCAGTATTCACTACACTTCTTAATTTACCTATTTTTTTGTTTCCATGGACATCATGGATGCTATTCGTTAATTATCTGCATAAGTAGAATGAGCTATGCATGAATCTGACTCCACATAATATTTTTGTGAAGGACATCATAGCATATTTGGATGGTGTAGTGGCTACCAGCACCGGATTCGATACAGTGAGGCCTGGTTCAGCCATGCATGTGTTATGCCCTCTATTCTCCTACTCATTAGTGTCCTTTATGTTATTGTTTAAAATGTATTTAATTTGTATGTTAATTGTTCATATTTATATAATTTAAATTCTGCTATGTATAAAATTTGTATTCTATTTTACCTAATCATCTAATTCATGGTTATATTGATAATACATATTTTGTATGTTAATTTGGTAGACCATTTTTTTTAAATTGTGACAAAATACATATTAACCATATAAATGACTTTGACCTGAGATATATTACTCCCTCTCGCTCGGCCTCGACCTAATTTTGACTTATTTCACAACACCCCTAAAAAATGGTTGGGTTCCATCACTGCTTGAATCTTAACATGGTATCAGAGTCAAACTAGTCAATAATCATGGTCTCCCACTCCGGTTGTGGTTTGATTGTAGCTCGTTAAGGGTCGATCTATTTGACTCATTAATACATCCCAATGTTGTTAAGTTCGGTTTGAGTTGAGGGGGCGTGTCAAAATATTTGTCCATACATAATTGGTTTAATATAATGAACCACTACATAAGATTCTGGGTTGCTTCTCGTGTCACGGTGAAAAAGAATGTTTCTCCACAACTGCTTTTTTCTTTCTTTGTGGCAAAAGATATCGAAGTGATAAGCATGAGAAGAAGGGAGCACTACGGGCAAAATAGGAATCTACAACAAAACGGCCGAAAACTAAACGCTACTTTTATTGGCATTTTGTATTTTGGTTGTTTGGGATAAAAAGTCAAAAGAAAAGGCCAATTAACCAAATACCTTTGTTAGATGTTTATCAGGTTAAAAAGTCAAATATTAGTCAAATCAACCAAAAAATGGTTGATAGGCTCCTCACCAAACACATCCATGATCTTTATGATGGAGTTTTTAGGGCCCTTTTAATGTAGCTAAGATACAAAATACTACAAGCCAAGTGTTCTTAATCTAATAGAGTGTGGCATCATCAAAATCTAATCATCAAACACATACATATACATATATACATATACTATCATCTATTATTTAAGAGTTGCAACAGTTTAACTTTCACATTTGGTGTTGCACAACTTTGACTGTAATTATATTTATCTACGTATTAGTAAACATTATAAAAATTTGATATTTTGGAAATTCACATTAATAGAAATTTAATAACATTTATACATAATAATTTGATTATACGATAGTATATATTAGTAGAAAATCGTGATCAAAGTAAAGCGTATGAGTAGTGCGAAAAACTCAATTTTGCAACTATTAAAAAACAACGGAGGAAGTAAACTAAAAGATATCCACTAATCCTCGGCATACCTTACAGTTATACTTTGTTTATTATTGGTCCAATCATCGCGCCTATTTTGCATGCGAGTTGAATTGGTGAGGATAGGCCACAAGGTCTACAATAAGTGCGTTGTTTTTAAAAGTTGTGATATCTTTTGCTTTGTTAACGTAATCATCAATCTTATTGACCAAAGTGTAAACTGTATATTATGTATATATGAAATGTGTTCAGTTCTCAGCGATGTAGAGAACCTAACATTATTGTATCTTTTGCAAAGGCCATACAGTCCAATGACATAAACTTTAGACTATATAGGCCTCAAATTTCATTTCTTCTCCTACGATATAACCACCCACCTAGCCTTGCCCCATAAAAAATGTATATACCAATTACATTTTATGGCAATAAGGAACCTATGAAAAATGCAGAAGATTTTATAATGGCGGCAGGCTAGACAGAGCCCTATTTCTAAAACTACAAAGCAATCCTCAATGGAATCTAGCACTGTTGAGAATCACCACCACATCACAATATGGTGCCCAAGAGCCATATGTGTAGCAAAAAGGAATAGACAATGAGACCTATTCTCGCTCGCGGACGACTCATTAGTGCCCGCCCGGATGACACCCTGATTCATTTTAAAAAGAATCCATTAGATCAATATATATGTGCGCAATTTCAACTCAAGTTTGAAGAAATGATTCTAAAGATATGTTTCTATGAAGTGTTTTGAAGGGGTTAGGAGGTGAGGGGCTTTGAAGGGTGAATGCTTTCAGCCAAAATCTGGCATAAAAATTAGCCCCTCAAATCTTTCAAATAGATTAGAAGTTAAAATTAGAAAAGAAGATAACCATCACAAGACTATACCAAATTCCGTCAATCCGGTCAGCAAGAAGCCTCCCTTGTCTTGGAACAAGTCCTGTCGTTATAAGGGATTTGAACAAGTGACCTGAAAGATAGGAAATATATTGCAATAAGTTCACGAATATTGGTCGTTGTTAAGCAGAAAGAAGTTTCAACTCATAGAAATAACACCTTTGTCTTCACTAGCTTCGTCGTGATTTAGTAATCTCTCAGTTCCAGAATCTATAGTGACTGCGAGGTGATCTGTAGATCCCTTTCTCAGAGTTCGCACATGAGCTGCTGAAGGGATTGAAGTAGATGCGCTATTATTAGTGCTTGAGCCCTACAGCATCAAGTATGTAAGACTTAGAATTAGAATCCCATATTGGAAATTTAAAGAGATAATTCAGCATTGAGAATTTAAGTGTTAGAGAAAATGATGAGTTAATAAGATTTCAGGTTGAACTAGCTAAAAATTAGATTCACTGTAGTTCAGCCCAGGTGTTTCAATAAATCTATTGGGATGAAAGTATTCTTCAGTTGAACCAGAAAACATTTTTTATGGACTTGGTTTTTAAGAAGATATTTTTCAAGAGACCAACTTAATGATGAAGATGATGATGACCGACTTAATGATTCCAATAGGAAATAGAAACATACCAATAAATAAGAAACTAAACATTGGGAAAGGGGCACCATGATTAATATGAGTGTAGGTTAAATATAATCAAGTTTACCAGGTCTTGGATTTCAGATATCTCAGACTGAGAAGGCAAGGAAGGTGCTGCAGCCATAACCCTTTCCGGAGCGATATCCCCAGGGATTACATCAACTTGAGTAGAACTTTCGAGTGATCTAGCCTTGCATGATAACTCATCTAAATTCTTTTGCATTTCAAGTAATTGTGCACCAAGTTCTGCTTTTTGGGACTTCAAATTTTCTGATTCATATATTACGGTCATGACCAGCTTTTCAACCACAGGCAGTAATCCCAAAACACCAGCTACTTTTTGAGCCCCAAGCAAATTGTTTTCTCCGAATTTCTGAATAACATTTTCCAAACCTATTTTTACCTTTAACAATTCATCCTTCATCTTTTCACAATCTTTCTCATCTCTGCTGAGTTTCTTCATTTCTCCATTCAGATTTTCAATTTCAAAGTATTTGTTTTCAAGAGTTGACTGTAACTCTTTTTTGTCACGAGACAACGAGATTGTCTGGTTCTGCAACTCAGTAAAACTGTCAATGACATAAAAGAGCTTTCCCACATCAGCTGTCTCATGAATATCCTGATTCCCCGCCTCATGACCTCCTAATGGAATCTCAATCTTATTTATCTTATCAAAGAGGGACCTCATCTGAGATGCTGACAGCAGAGTGTCTTCATTCTCTAATAATAATAATAATAATAATAATAATAATAATAATAATAATTTATGAGCACCATAAGACAATAGAAGATACCGACATACAGTGATATTCGTAAGGATCAAAGTACCCGAGACGCCCCTCTACTCTATCACTCTTAAATTTACTCTCTCTACTCTAATTGTGTTAAATAAGTCCATGTACTATAAAATTCAGTACAATTACTATATGGCGACGACATATAGTAATTATATGGCGATGACATCACTTGTGACATGTCCTTGACATTGGCGTGATGTGTCTAGTCAGATTTAAAAATAGATACTTGCGTAATTGTCAAACTAATTCAATTTGACTACGTGAGCGTGGCACGTATAATTTCATGTCACCGTAGGCTGTTTTTAAACAAACTAAAAGCTGTTTAACCATATGCCAAATCAATGTCAAGGACATGTCATAAGTGATTTCACCGCGGCATGGTAAAGAATACAACAACAACAACAACATCCAAGTCTTATTCCCAAAAGATTTTGGGGTCGGCTAACATGAATCGATCCATGATATCAGAGCCAAAAAGAGAAGAAAGATACGAAAGATAATTATAAGATAAAAATAACATAAGAAAGATAAAAGATAAAAGTAACATAAGAACATTGAAAGATAAAGATAAAAGAAAAGGAGGGAGGGAGAGAGAGAGGGAGGGGGAGAGAGAGAGAGAGGGAGAGAGAGAGAGAGATCGTCCACATGAATATGCATCCTCCACTTTGCTCTCTCCAAAGTCATACTCTCATCCAACACAAGAAAAGCATAGTAAAGAATAACAGAAATAAATTCACAGTATTAAGAGTTTCCACTAATTGCATTGAATGATATAACTGAACATTATTAGAGTAGAGGGATTAAAATAAACAAAGTGATAGAGTAGAGGGACCTCCCAGATATTTCGACTGGTTCATAAGTAACAAAGTTCAATAGCGTAGTGAGCTAAAGCAAATCAAGAGAATACCTTGCTCTTTCAATAAAACAGTGCTTTTAAGAGCTGAAAGTTCTGCCATTGTCTCCTTAAAGTGATCCTCATTTGCCTGATGATCTTCTAGTTTAAGCCTCAACTCACTGCACAAACCTTTCGCTTCATCTAGTTCACTTTCCAGTTGGGAGATCCTTTTCAGGTATATCTCCCTTTCTTCCAAACCTCTTTCACAAACAACACTGGTTTCTGTCAATTTGTTCTGCAGTTCTTTGATGGTTTCAACCATCTGATCATTTGCATCTTCAATTTGTTTCCTCAGACCCTGGCTATGTCTAGCAGCATCTAACAGCTTCTCAGCAACCTTCTCAGAGTTGCTGCAATTAAATACAATTTCATCTTCGTCGACACTATCTGGTATGACAAAAGAGCTATTTTCTGAACTCAGTTCTTGAATTGCACCAACACAAGCAGAATACAAGACCTTAAGATTCCTTTCCATCATGTCAGTTTTACTTTGCAGTGACTGTTTATCCGCTTCCACATCGTCCATGTTTTGCTTCAGCGATTTCATGAGCTTAGGAAAAAGTGTGACCAAATCACCAACCAATGTGGAGTATCCTTCAAACCTGTCGGCAATATTTTTGTTCCCATGATGGAGTGCTTTCACAGTTTTCAAGATCTCATCACTTGATGCATTTAGTCCCCCATTAGCCATTTCCATGTTGGGAACATCGTGAAAGCCAGATAGAAAGGCTGTTGACCTTGAAGTATCATCCTACAAGGAACCAAGAAAATTTATAACTGCAGAGATGTTAAGCTTCAACCATATAACAAAAAAGACACATTTGATAGCAATTTTAAGGCACGTGCTCCGCAACCAAGGAGGTCCAGTACTTTGCTAGAGGTAACTGGTGGAATTGAAAATATTTAGATTGTGATTCTGATTGTCTGAGGTTTTCGATAGACATACAATAATCAGCTTTGTCATTAACACACATTAAATATACTACTTGTTAAGTGTCGCAAATCGGTTGCTTATTGGATACTTCATATATTTTTATAAGGTAAGCCATACGCCTCATCTTATGGGGATATTTTTGGGGTGAGTTATGTCCAATTTAAAATATTTTCAGATTAGCATTAATTAACTTAGTCTATGAATTGAAAAAAGGACTGCCCCTCTTCTTGGACCAAGTATTTCTTGTGGGTCAATCCATGCAGAAGACATTATCAAGTTAAACTTTTAGGGTGTAGCCCAAATTTTAATACAACATCAAAGCTAACCCCATGTGTGGCCTTATTGCGCATCTAGATGATTATCCGGATCCATGTGCATAATATATGATTTTAAAAAAATAACAAGATAAGACGAAGTGCGTTGTGAGTGTTAAAAGTTTGTCCCACGTCGGCTAAATATGATAACAAACTAGCACAAAATCTTTTGTTACCCCAATCATGTTCACTTTTGGGATGGAAGCACAAGCCGCAAGTACTAATAGTACCAAATAAACTGAGCAATTTGGGGCATTTGGGCAAGGTCCATATGTAGACGTTGTTAACCAAGATGTGAAATTACCTTTAAGAGAGGATGACATTGCAACACTTTGAAATTAACTTCGGGAAACCAGTCCTCAATTTCTTTAAGATGAAAATCCATTTCATTCAGTTTCTCAAACTTCTGCTCTAAACTTTGACATGCTGCATATAGCAAATTCCCATCTTTCACAAGACTTCTAACATGACCTGACAACTCTAGATCTTTCGTCTCTATGCTCCCGTGTGATTGATCCAAATCTCGCAAGCAGTTACTCAATTTAAAATTGAGATCTGAAATCTCTTCTTCAGCATTTTTCTTGTCATTAACAAGATAAAAAAATTTGTCCTCTGCACTTCGCAATTCACCCTCTAGTGATTTTATAGTGACTGAGGCATCAGCAAGCTTGCTATTTTGAGATTCAGCCTCCTCTTTGAGCTTCTTTATCTCAGTCTCCAAAAGAGTAATACCAATATGTGTCTTATTGTTTTCCTCTGCAATAAGGGAAATGTTTTCCCTTTCCCTTCTCAGTGCATCTTCAAGGGACTGAATAGTTTCATTCGCATCTGCCAGCTTACCTTTGTCAGCAGAATATTCTTCCTGTATTTTCTGCAATTCCACTTGAGTCTCATCTCTACTACGTAAAATATCTTCTTTCTCATTCGTTAGTGCTGAGATTTTATTTTCTGACAGCAATAAGGCATCTTCAATTGATTTCTGGCTAGCACAGACCTCGGAAAATTTACTCTTCTCAGCAGAAGCTTCACTTACTGCTTTCTGCAATTCCTGTTGAAGTGAAGTTCTTACTGATTCCAGTTCATTTTTATCTTTTAAAAGCTGAGAGATAACAGTCTCTGTATTGGACAAGGCATCTATTGTTCTTTGTAATTCTTGTTCTATTAAGCTCTTTGAAGATTCTTGTTCTTTCTTTTCTTCTTGAAGATGACGGATACTGTTTTCAGCAATAGATAAGGAATCTGTCAATGATTTTATGGCTTCCTGGGATTCTAATAACTTGTTAACTAAATTATTGGCTTCATCTTTCACCAATGCCAACTCTTGTTGTGCCTCTATCTTTTCCTTTTTGCATTCTCCAAAGCAGTCAACAAGTGATTTGACCTTCTCAACAGGCCCTTCGGAACCTGAAACAGCTGGAATAGTAATGCAATCTATTGACTCGATCACTTGTTGTAGTATTCCATTGCTCTCAACCAAGAACTGCTCGATTTGGTGCTTTTGTTCCTCGATAGAAGCAAGATCAGCTTCCAGTTTAGGAATGAGGGCCAGGTCAGCAGATAATTTTTCAATCTGATCTTTGCACTCACTATACATAGACTGCTGCTGCTCAAGTTCTGATTTTAGTTTTTCAATCTCAAAATTTTTCTCATCCAAAGTTCTTTTCAAGTTTTCCCGCTCTAGAACAACTCCCTTGCCTTTTTTAACTGCCATAGACAATTTTTCCTTAAGCGTAGCTACTCTCTCCTCATATTGTTCAAGACTCATCTGCAGAGAATTCTTTTCTTCTCTCACTGCATTTAGTTTTTCAGTGGCCATCACCAACTCCCTTGAGATATTTTCGTGTTCTAATTTATTCAGCATCTCTTCTGCAAGAATTGCCTCATAAAGCTTCAACTCCAGATCCCTAGAATACAAAGCTTTTTGGATATTTTGGAAAGATTCCGATTCAATATAAGAAGATTCAAAGGAAGGGTTCTCCTCTTTTATCTTCACTATACATTTTTCAATGATTGCAGATATGTTAGACTGCTGATGACAGACCAATTCGCGATCATTTAGTTTAACAGCTGCAGCTGCCTCTAGCAGCGTATTGACAAAATGATCCTTCTCCATTGACAAGCCATGCTCTTTCCGGGAAATGTCTTCATAAATACAATTTAAAATTCCCAGTTCCTCCGTAATATAGAATTTTTCCTGTGTTTCCACTAAGAGTGACACAGTTAATCGATCTATTACATTAATTGCTTCCTCTCGTGCTGCACCTACCTCCTCCTGTAACTTCCCATGAAGATAGTTCTTCTCAGCCATTAGCTGACCAATCTTATTATTTGCAGCCTCCTTAGATGCAGCCATCTCCTCCTGCAACTTTCCAGCTTCTTCTTTAGCAAGATAAAGAGACTCTACTAACCAAGAAATACGTTCATCAATTGTTCTTGATTGCATAGTTTCGGGAAAATCAAATGATGAAATGACCTCTGTAACTTTTTGAAATTTCAGGTATATGTCCTTTAATGAATTCCTCTCATCTGCAAGGCACCTTATGTTCTCAGAAATATCTGCTAGTGGAAGCTCTTCAGTTCCAAAAGCCTCTGATAATGTTCCTCCACATTTCTGGAGTACACTGTCCTTTTCTAAGAGAGCATCCTGCAGTGAGGTTGCTAACTCATTGCTTCTTGCCAACAGCTCCTTGGTTTGTTCTGCAACTTCAAGAGCATTTGACTTTTCTTGCAATTCAACCAAGCATTTGTCCAGCTCGGTTGTTTTCTCAGCTAACAATTGCTTCAGCACATCACGCTGCTGAACTAAAGCTTTTCCTTTTGTCACAGCCAAACTAAGCTTCTCTTTAGCATTTGTATATCTTGACTTCTCCTGCTCAACTTCAGCATTAAGCTTTGCAATTTCCATATTTGCCTCCTCAAGCATTGATTTGTGCTTATCGAGTTCTTCCAATAGTTTTCTATTTTCTATTTGGACCTCAGACATGCATGAGGCATACTCTTGTTCAGAACTCAAATGAGAAAGGGCAACATCCTTTAGTACAGAAAACTCAGTAAGCTTTGTATTAAGAGCCTCAATTTCATGATCCTTCATGTGTGAAATTGCATCGAGTTCCCTTATCCTGCTCTCAGTGTTAGAGCGTTCTTGCATAGCGTCTACAAGAAAACTGCAGCAGTCAGATATCATCCCATGCAGTGATGCAGTGGACCCTACACCTGTATACTTTTTATTAGAATCTTCAACCACCGCATTGTCATCTATAGTATTAACTAATGATGGTTGGTGCTCATTGAGGGCCTTGAGTTGGTTACAAAGATGAGTCAGTTCTTTCATTAATAGAGCTTTTTCGACCTGCAAGAGAAGTAAGATATGACTATGATGCAATTGCATAGGAGGTGAAATTATACACAATAACAACAACATCCAAGCCTTAATCCCAAAATTACACACACACAAATGTTGCTGAGAAAACTGACTTCATATTCATGTGAAAGATTTTCTTGTGTAGCAGGAGGTGTCTGCAAGTCTTCTACTTCAGCCTTGAAATCCCGTTTTTTCATCTCACTGGCTTTTCCTTCTTCGACCTGAGTGTCCTGTATGTTATCCTTATCCTCGATACTCGGTGATGTTTCAGAAGTCTCTATCTCATCTGGACAATCCACAAACATATCTTCTCTTCCTCCATCTTCAGCCATTTTTACATCACTTGTTTCTCTTTCTTCAAAACCCCCACTATGGTTGTTGGCAATAAGCACCTAAACGAAGTTTAGCCAAGAAATATCTCACACCCAAAATCATAAAACATTGAAGCTTTTCATTGAGACAAACAGATCTCCTATGTTATTAACTTATCAGTTCCAAATGACAACTTGATTTTCACGAATAAAGTCTGTAACCTATGGTAATGCATGTATTACCAATTACCTACATTCAAGGATCAAAAAGTCTATTGAGGCTTACGTCTTGAGGTCTGTGTAGGGGCAGGGAAGTCAAAAGGATTTAAGGCTACAGCCCCTATGTGAAAACTAGTGCTTAACTGCTTATCCCTACAGCCCTACTAGGTTGGGGCCTATGTCCTGCCCTCCCGGGATTTCTTGAGGCTTATACCCTGGGGTGTAAGCCTCTTGGTTTTGAGCAATACCTAACTCATCCTCCTTATTATCTAATTATCTATAGTTCAGACTTTGTTGTAGATGCTACAAAGATTTGGAACACTTATTTATGAACTTTTCATGTTTTAACAATCTTTTTAATTAATCAGAGCAGTTAAACAATTACGGAGTAATATTTTGTGTTTAGAGCAGTTAGACATAGTATAAACTATGTCAAGGCAAGATCAGCCATTGGCCAGAGCATAAACTAGGGGATCCAATGCAAAGAATGATCGAATAAAAATCACATATATAAGCACTAATGAATAATGATACGCTTATAAGCAAACAAACTTTAAAAAAAGAGGGAAGGTATCCACTGATTAAAAACCTGGTCAACGTTTGTTGGTTCTACAGCGCCAATGCCATTCTCATCAGCTGCGGAGCCTTCTTCTCCGACCCATTGTGACCCAGACTCAGACATTTAGACCAACCATAGACTACTCACAACAATCTTATCTTGCAGATGACATAGGGTGAGCAGAAATGGTATTTGAACAGGGCAAAAAGATCCAATCTTGAGGCGACCCTAACAGAAATGTGTACAAAGTTTCAAGAAACATTCAAGAAAACACATATTTCACACCAAACAAAAACGAAATACTATCAAACCCATAAACTGGAAACAAAATAATGAGATACTCATATGAGCAAGCTCAAAACACCTGGAAAATGGAATGCCAATTGATAAGTTTTTTGTGATTTCGTCTAGGTTGTCGTGACTTTGATGATGATGATGATGATGATGATGATGATGATGGCGGTGGATCTTGGATGAATGCAGCAGAGCTGGGAAAACAATGAGCTTATTGTGCTGCCCGCGTTATATATCTGAGCGTTACTTTGCAGGTAAAATGACACTTCGTCGTGCTAGTTGTCTATACTGCAGGTAAAACGAACAAGAACCAGAAAAATTGCTCAAACTAAAACTTAAATATTCTTGTAAAAAAAAGGGAGAATTCTCTAAATAGGTGTAAAAAAAATTTGAAATTTCAAAATAAGATTATCGTTTTTTATTTCTTGAATAGTAGTAAATTTTTAACAAATTTGACATTACTAAGCTTTAAAACATGACATTTTTTTCAAAACTCGGCAGATTACTCTTATTCAGAGAATAAAAAACATGATACTCCTATTTTGTAATTTCAAAACGTTTTTATTCTTATTTAGAGCAATTTCTATATAAAAAAAATACTCCGTAAACCGTAACTATTCTGAAAATTCTTATGAGTAAAAAAAGGTATTCCGAAAATTCTTAGTTTATAAAGTATATGTTGTAAATTCCTGAGAATAACAAGTGTGAATTGTTCATCTTTGTCATCAGGACACTAATCCAATTCCAATCCTAGTAATAGACAGATGGCTAAGTTTAATGTTGCCAACTTATTGTAATTGGTTTCCAAAATAAAATTTACGTACCTGGAATAGAAGTTTCCTTCCTTTCAAATGTTCTCCAATCTTGATTAGCTCTTCGTAGAACAAAAACGGATGCAAAATCTAGCTTTAAAAGGAAGTACTGCTACGTAATACTTGTATAAAATATATAATTATATGACTTGAAATGGAAAAGAAAGAATAGAGGAACAATGAATAAGAAATACTAGCACTAAGATAAACTAAAGAATGGACTCCATTAGCTAGAGCAATAGAGTAGCACACTCGGCCCTTCATTTCTCTTAAAATAAAGTAATAGAATACTCTCAGAATTAAGTCACGGGTAACTAAGATACAATTTTAGCTGCAAGAATAGGTCTGATCTCTCTGCCACAAGTTCACATGCACAACTAACATAAAGTGCATTATTACGTGTCGCATAACAAGTTTTAGACCCTTAGAATTGATATTCGGTTGTTTTTGTTTTTATATCCAAAACAAAAGAAAGCAACGTAAAATACAATTTTACTAAACTACTTAAGTTACTTACTCTATATTTATATTGACCACTACTTACGTACAGGAAAAAGTGGCCTTTAGAGTCAATAACATCAAGTAAAAGTTATTACTCCAATTTTTAAAAATGATTCAGTTTAGTCCGTTTCTATTAAAAAAAATAGTAATTTTTACCAAGCAATTAATGTTCTTATATACCCTTTTACTAATTAACGTTAAATTAATAAATTTTGTAGTAAATCATGGCAAATAAGCAAAAGAGAATTCGACGTTCTTGATTTGTCCGGTCAAAAAATATCTGGAATGGAAAGTTGATGTTTTAGCACATTTGAAGGCTAATGGTCTCGAAGACACTATTGAGGCTATTAATCAATCATCTTCCCAGGATAAAGCGAAAACTATAATTTTTCTCCGTCACCATCACCATGAAAGTCTCAAATCTGAATATCTTTGGTTGATGACCCAAAAGAATTATGGGACAATTTACAGGAGAGGTATGACCACCAACAAAAGGTCCTTTTGCCTAAAGCTCAGTACGACTGGATCAATTTAAGATTCCAGGATTTTAAATCTACCAGTGACTATAATTCTTCAATGTTCCAAATAACATCTAAATTAAAGTTATGTGGACAAAAAGTCAATGATGCTGATATGTTGGAAAAAACCTTTTCTGCCATGCATATTTCTAATATGCTGCTACAACAGCAATATAGAGAAAAGGGTTTTAAAAAATACTCCGACTTAATATCAGTATTATTGGTAGCTGAGCAAAATAATGACCTTTTGATGAAAAACCATAATCTGAGACCCACTGGTTCTAGTCCTTTGGTTTATGGTCCATCTGGCCATAATTTAGCCACTGAATCAAATGCAACATACAGTGGCAGTAGAAGGCATTTTAAACGTGAACATTTTAATGGTCATAAAAACAAGTCACACCGAGAATTCAAACAGGTCGAAAGACCAAATTATAAGGGCAAGGGCAAACAAAAGGCACATCAAATAAATCACCCTATAAAATCCTCGGTGAAGACGACTTGTTACAAGTGTGGCATGACAAGGCACTGGGCTAACAAATGTCGTACTGCAAAGCATCTGGTGGAATTATTTCAAGCTTCCATGAATTTGAACAAAGGCAAAAATATGGAAGCTAATTATGTCAATGACACAACTCCACCTCTGCCAAAATTTGACGTGTCTGACTTTTTCGCGATTGATGTCATTATGGACGATGCTTTTGCCATAAACCAAAATGTTACTAAATAAAATAGTAGACTTCTGATGTTGTACAATAGTGGTTTTATGTACTTTTTCTTTCTTCCCCTTTTTATTTTGTTTTTAAATAAATATGTGTAATGTATATACTCTTAAGTTAAATAATACTCCCTCCGTCCCGGAAGTATCTTCATTCTTTCCTTTTCGGTCCGTCCCAAATTTATCTCCTCTTTCCTTTTTTGACAAAGAATTTGTGGTTCTCAACCATTCTTACACATTTCTCTTTCCTCTGCACAACTTTCCACCACACATTTCCCACTATCTTAAAACCCGTGCCCAGTCAAATAAGGAGATAATTCCGGGACGGAGGTAGTATGCATAATTTGTGATCAAGCTTATGTTTATTTATATATATTGAAGATATGGATCACTCAAATGACAAAGAGGTATGTCTGATAGACAGCGCCACAACGCACACCATTTTGAGAACTAAAATATATTTTTCTCAAATGACTTTAGTTAAAGCTAAAGTCAATACAATATCAGGTGTTGCGAAGCTCATTGAAGGCTCTGAGAAAGCATATGCGGTGCTCCCTAACGGGACCAAAATAATTATAAATGACGCCTTATACTCCAGCAAATCATGGAGGAATTTATTAAGTTTTAAAGATATGCGTCAAAATGGTTATCACATAGAAACCGTGAATGAAAACCAAAAGAAATATCTTTGTCTAACAACAACTAAATCTGGCACTAAATGTATTTGTGAAAAAATGCCAACATATTCCTCAGGACTATATTTCACATATATAAGTCCATTCGAAATAAATTTGGCTTGTAACACAAAGTTAGATGATCAGAAAACATTCATGTTGTGGCATGATCATTTAGGTCACCCAGGCCAGGTAATGATGCATAAAATCATTAAGACTTCACTTGGACATCCATTAAAGAATATCAGGATTCCATTGTCAAGTGATTTTCCTTGTAAAGCCTGTTCTCTTGGCAAAATGATCATCATGCCTTCTATGAACAAAATTGCAAGTGAATCCCCTGCATTTTTTGAAAGGATTCAAGGAGATATCTGTGGGCCGATTGCCCCACCACGTGGACCATTTCGATATTTTATGGTGTTGATTGATGCTTCAACACGTTGGTCATATGTCAGTCTTTTATCGACTAGAAATTTAGCATTTGCTAAACTCGTTGCTCAAATTATAAGATTAAGAGCTCATTTTTCGGATCATTCTATAAAAAGAATCCGACTTGATAATGCAGGAGAATTTACATCCCAATCATTTAACGACTATTGTATGTCGATTGGGATTGATGTGGAGCACCCTGTTGCTCATGTCCATACACAAAATGGTCTTGCTGAATCTTTGATTAAACGATTACAATTAATCGCCAGACCATTATTAATGAAGTGTAACTTACCTTCATCAGTTTGGGGACATGCTATTTTACATGCAGCAAATTTAGTTCGGCTTAGACCGACTGCATATCATGAATATTCCCCAATGCAATTAGTTTATGGACAAGAGCCAAACTTAGCACACATAAAAATATTTGGTTGTGTTGTTTATGTTCTGATTGCTCCACCTCATCGTACAAAAATGGGTCCTCAAAGAAGGTTGGGAATTTACGTTGGATTTGAATCTCCCTCAATAATAAAATATCTCGAACCGATGACTGGTGACTTATTTACATCGCGGTTTGCAGACTGTCATTTCAATGAGACAGTATTTCCAACCTTAGGGGGAGAAAAGAATAAATTAGACCCAAGTACGAAAGAGATAACATGAAATGCAACAGGGTTATCACATCTTGACTCGAGAACAAATATATGTGAGCAAGAAGTCCAAAAGATAATCTATTTACAAAATGATGCAAATCAGTTGCCTGATGCATTCACAGATACAAAGAAAGTGACAAAGTCACATATTCCTTCCATGAATGCCCCTGCCAGGATCGAAATCCCAGCAGAGAATTCTGAAAAATCTCTTGCGAATGATTCTTCTATACGCAAAAAGCGTGGCAGACCACTTGGATCAAAAGATCGATATAAAACAAAGAAAAACTAAAAGGCGGGAATTGATCTATGATGCCAAAGACGTTCATCCTTCTGAACAAGAAAATGAACAATTTGAAAATACTGGCATAGAAAATGATATTGACAAAACAAACATCTCAAATGATGATCCAACTTTCTTAAACGAGGAAGATATTCCAGATAACGATAGAAACGTTGATAATTATGAAATTTCAATAAACTACGTTTCTACTGGAATGCAATGGAATCGAAAAAATATTGATATTAATGAGATATTTGTCTATGTTGTTGCCACAAATGTTATGAATGAAAACAATGACAATGAGCCAACATCAATTGAAGAATGTCGGAAACGACACGATTGGCCAAAATGGAATGAAGCTATTCAGGCTGAATTAAAATCACTTGAAAAACGTGATGTTTTGGATTGATAGTCCCTACGCGAAAAGGCGTAAAACCAGTGGGATTTAAATGGGTATTTGTGCGTAAAGGCAATGAGAAAAATGAAATCGTAAGATATAAAGTCCGACTTGTTGCCCAATGGTTTTCTAAAATGCCGGGAATTGATTATGAAGAAACCTATTCTCCAGTAGTTGATGCAACTACATTAAGGTTTCTCATTGGCATGTTTGTTTTTGAAAGGCTGCAAATGCGCCTAATGGATGTAGTAACTGCATATTTATACGGTTCACTTGATACAGACATTTATATGAAAGTTCCCGGAGGATTTAAAATGCTTG